GATGATTTGAACATTCCCTTAAAGAATGTATGCAACATTGAGAGATGCTGAAAAATGGGGAAAATTAAGCCATTGCTTTCCTTCTAAAGGAATTCAACTGACTGACCAGAGGTCATGAGGTTCACTCATATGGCCGTGGGCAGGAGCTGGCAGGCTCCTAAGTCACCTCATGATGACCCATTGCCACTGCCACTGTCACACTGATGAGAGGCCCTTGCTGACAATGACACTGGAGCAAAATAAGCTGGACTATGGGATTCAGGGTACTAAACACAGGAAAAAGAGCACCCTCTGGCCAGCGCTATTTTGGCTGTAAATCATGCTAATAAAGCCAATTTATGTCCTATGACTCTACTCTCCACAGAACCTATCCTGCAGTTATGACTACCCTGCAGTTATTTTTACTGAGACTTTAATCGTGAGATATATGTTGCTCGTTAATTTCAGCCATGACCTCACCATAATGCACTAATACTAACCAATACAGAATGCAGCAAGGGTGCTCCACAGGACCAGAGTTCATCACAATTTGATGTTATCTTGCTTTAACACCTACTAAAGCTTACAAGAAACTGATGAGCTGAATCGGATTTGTCCGAGCAGGAAAACCACCAAACTAGACTGGACTCTGCCTTCCAAGATTGTATGTGGGTCAAGAGTGGAACAAAAGACTGAAGTGATTAATGATATCACAAGGCAAGAGTGCAAATCAAATGCACTCTTTAAAGTGGGGATTAAAATTGACTTTCATCATTGACTTTTTATTGTCAATTTTTTTTTATTTTATATATATATATATATATATATATATAATATATATATATATATATATATTATGGCAAGCCAAACAGGAAATATTTAATGAACATTGATATATATTGAATGAAAGTCGCTGTTGAAGGGTTGAGGATGGCCAAGAAAAACTGTATATCAATAAATGGGCATTAACAAACTCCAGGTGTATATTATATATTTAATATAATATATTCATTTAATATGTTCATTTAATATATATCAATGTTCATTCCATATATATCAAAGTTCATTATATATATCAGTGTTCATTCAATATATATCAAAGTTCATTCCATATATATCAATGTTCATTTAATATATATCAATGTTTGTTCCATATATATCTATCTTTGTTCTACTGAGATATATTGAATGAACATTGATATATATTAAATGAACATTGATATATATTGAATGAACATTGATATATATGGAATGAACATTGATATATATCGAGTGAACATTGATATATATTGAATGAACCTTGATGTACATGGATCGAACATTGAAATGAAAAAATGAATAATATAATTCATAAAATGTTTTGTTTAGACAGAGAGGGACATTTGGGGTTGTGTGTGTTGTAGCCTTGCACCCACATATATATATATATATACACTCATTTTCATGCTGGTGGTCTGCGCTCCGTTAGCATGAGCTATGATGCAACACTGAAAAAATGGTGCTTTGATACATGATTTAAAGGTGCCAGTTGGTTGCACATGAATAAAACGTGTTACATTAACACAGTTTTTGCCCAAAGACGTGAACTGAAAGACAATAATTGTGCTGATGTAAGATGTTTTATTCACATGCAACCAACAGACATGAATAATGTAAATTCAAAGTGACATTTTTCAGTGAATGGTCAGCTACAATGAGCAATTATAACACTTACCTACTTATGTGTTATATGAACATGGAAAACAAAACAAAACATCTTTGTATGACATCTGAGTGCTATGTATATTATATATGTGTGTGTGTGTGTGAGTGTGTGTGTGTGTCGGATGTATGGCTCATGAAATATATAGACATTAAAACCCCTTTTTCCTTACACATGAGAAGTTGTTGGATGTCCCCAAAGGCTCATTTTACTCATCCAGAAATGACTAAAACATACTGATGTGCACACACACACTGTGGGTTCAGGAGGGCTTATAGCCAGAGTGAGTTGCTGACAGATGGTCCTTAAAGTGGGGGTTAAAATGTATGTTACTGGGTCAGTGCTAAAGGGGAACTATGGTCATATCCATAACCCTGACCAAAACATCTCAGAATACAGGCTTTACCATCGGACATAAAGAAAAACCCTCTTCTTTTACAGCATTAAAGAAAAGCACAACCACTGGATCACATTTCTGGAATTAATACTAACATTAATATGATCTGAGAGCAGCTCTTATAACAACGAAGTCCCTTCCTGTACCCTGAAGAAGCATTCTGTCAATGCACAATATCTGCTCTGTGTTCTCTAAATGGGTCATGTGCAATGTGCAATTATGGTTTAGTCTGTTTGCTCTGTTAATCATCTTTTCCAGTTTGGACTTGATTATCAGTCAAGGTGAAACTGAATTCCATCCCTGACAGTTATGTATGAATGTATCAGATACAGAAAGCTATGCATTATCCTTCAGCACTGAAGTTTGCACTTCAATGCAGTTCTTATATTCTTGAAACTCACTTTGGCGCAGGCTTTTCCTGAAGGACAGGAATCAAAGCAAACGTCTGTCACAACAACAACAAGAGCATCACATGAATGTCGTATCTTTGAGGATCACACATAAGCAGAGATGGGTAGAAAATCACTTCCACTTACATGTACTCAAGCACAATTCTGACAGATTAAGGGAAACTTAACTTCACCTCAAGCATATTTGTGAGGAAAGTAATCTACTTTTGACTGTTTACACTTGGTTACTAATTCTTTTTTTTGTTGAATTTAATTCTTTTGGGTTCAGCATCAACACTGCTTTGCTGTTGATCACATTTCAAGCTTTACCAATTTATTTTGGACCAAAAGGATCCCAAAAAGTGATGCACAGAGCCTAAAAAACTTCAGTTACTATGCTGATAGATGCTGGACGCACTACAGTCAATTCGCTTACTTTTGGCCTGATACTTTTTTATGCAAACTAAAGTTAATTTTGGCACTTTTACTCGAACTTGAGTCATTATTTCAATGAAGTTACACTTTTTCTTCAGTATGTGTTAAGGTTACTCTACTCACATCTGCATGTTTGTGGCCACTATTTCTTCTCATGCATTCTTAAGCAATGCTAAGGACAAACCATGTACATATATAAGACACAACTGTACTTCTTATTTTCATCACATTCAGGTCCACTTGAGATTGAACACGACAGTGAAGTCGACAGTGATTCTAAATACTGTTTTATGTTGTATGCAGTCATTAGAATTAGAAAGTTCTGCAAGGCTATTTTTTCCTGAAACCACAGGTGTTATAAATGTCCCTGATCATTTTAAACAATACTGTCTTTACATTGTGTTTGATTCATCAGTACATGTGAATACACTATTGATGTATTCAGGCGCTTTGTTATTAATCTACCACCACTCTTAAAATCGTCCTTCCTGATGTCTTACAGGATTTGACTGAAGACTCTTGCCATTTTCTCAGCACATATCTTGCACGTGTGCTTGTGTGTTTTTATAGACTCACTGTAACAGTTCATGTGTGGCTTTTCATTAATAAAAGCTCTCTTTTGTGTGTCCAGAGGCACTTGTGTCATGCTGCTGTAGGCCGGCCCCTCCACTGAGAAGAGCACTATGCCTGTCACAGACAGTCACTAGGCAGTCTTTTGTTCAGATTCATGCTAATGTGGCATTTTTGTGTCTGTTTAACCGTAAATCAACACCCTGTATAGTGCCCTTTATTGTCGTGGTATGACATAAATGTCAAACTCGCATTTCATTACAGAGAATGCACACACGGTTCTGGTCTTTCTTGTCATTTGACCACAATGGTTTAGCTTAATCTTTCCAAAGCTATCTTAGCTGACCTAATCTGAACTTTAAACATGACCTTCTTGGATTCTTTACACCAGTGGTGGGGAACTCTGACCCTCCTGCACAGTTAATTACCAGATTTAGCAGCTATTTCAGAACAGAGAAATCAGTAAACTGTGACTAGACTCTGGCCCTCAGTTCCCCTAGTCCTGCTTTACGCTATGGTCCTGATTCCAGCCACATTAGGTATATTTCACAAAGACAGTACATCTAGCCTGGAGGAGCAACTCTTTGTTCTGTAATAATGGAATGTGTGGTGTAGAAACCTAGATTATAAAACCTCATCCAGAGGAGACAAACAGTGTAATTGCAAATGACTTGAATTTCACTCGAACAAAGACCATGGAAGATCACGCTTATAATGAATGGAATGGAAATAACACATAAGGCCAGTAGGGTGCTTTGCTGCCATCTACAGTCAACCTGCAGCCCCAATATATTCATTTCATCTGCCATGAGGTCTTAAATAATATCTGTGCACATAGCATGAATAATGGAAAAAGACTAGAATTACAGCAGTAAATGCTGCATTACTGCTTTTATTTGTGACAGTAAAAAAAAGTCTCTCTTAAGGCTTATTCCTCTTTAGTGGTGTTGCAGGTTCATACTGTTGCATCTGGTAATTCTGCAGTTTAATAGCATATTTATACACTCAGTAGCCACTTTATGAGGTAACCTGTTCATTAATGCAAATAGTCTGCTTCTCTAAACTATGGATTATGTGGCTACAGCTCTGCGTTCTGGATAGTGACAACCTGTCAACTTGTTACTATTTTTTGCTGTGTACTCCAGCATATCGGATTTTAAATAAAATGTTTATGAAGTGCAGACTGCCAGCTTTTATACATTGATTACTTCATCCATGTTAGGTGGACTGGAGTTGTTGCTGTCTAAAAAAAACCCTAGTATCCCCAAAATGTTTATGTTAACTTTACATGAAAAGGCAATACTGTTCTTGATTTTTAATGTAAGTTATGTAAAGGGATTTTATTTTCAAGTAACTTTGAGGCAATTCTTCACTCGTCTGGTACAAAGTTGGTAAAATTGTACTGGATATATATAAGAATATAAAAGAAACTAAATTCAAGTTTCACAAAAATGCTGAGAATCTAGAACCAAAACTAAACACATGCTTAACAACATGTGTGTCATGACTGTCTTAGTGTTGGACAGAATTAATAAATTATAACAATCAACACAGCAGTCAGTACAGAGGCCTGAAAATGGGTCAACGATAGGTGTGACAAAGACAACCCTTCATTATACACAAAACCAGAAAATCTATTCAGGGTGAGGGGTGCAAAACAAGGCTCTTCCATGTAGCACACACAGTCAAACCTCTCCTCAAACCAGTCAATGTCCTGCTGTGAAACGTGCCCCTTCATGAAGAGCCCCCCTGCATTGTCCATGTAGATTTGGTACCTGTGTGGAGACAAGTGAAGATAATCTCCACTGTCCCAGAGCCTCCTCACACACCTGCCTTTAGCCTGGCACAAGACTTCACTACAAAGCTGCGTAGCTGTGGTGACATTCAGGATGTAAGGGTTCAGAACTTCCTCTAGGTGGCGTTTTGCAGCTGTACAGGAGGCCTGTGTTAAAAAAAATATTTTTTCAAACTTTCTGCACGATTGAATCACTGTAAAAAGATGTAAACAAAGTCATTCAGAGTTCTTTGATGTGAAATGTGCTGTTCTAGAGAAACATGCCAAGTCAAAATTGTTTACGGTAATGGTGATAAGAATCAGATGTCTGAAGTGTTTAACGATTCTAAAAGCTTCCTCTCAGAAAGCAATTACTTGAAATTGTTCTGAATACACTGCCATAAGCCTGAGACATTGTTTCGGAATAGGTTTTGGTTTAAAACATTTTTGTATTTTTGAATTCGTCATGGCAGAGAGGTACCAAATGTCCCCAAAGTAAACACATTGTTAGAGATTTCCCAGTATTTTACTACTGTCAACATTACACATAAAAACTCAACACTTAAAATTGAGAGGGCAGCTCGACTCAATGTTACATAGTAACTGATTACATGTCTTCTCTTGAATTAACTCAACCTGGGGACACGAGAGTTCACCCAACTCAAAGTTTTATTGTGTGAAAAGTTCTCTTAATTTTTTTGTTTTCCTTTAGGTTAGGTAAATAAAATTGATTTGTTTTTTTAAGTACACTTTCCCCACTAGCTAGAACTCTTTCCATTACACTGTCTTACTAGACATTTTTTTCTACTCACGTATGGATGCCTATGATATTGCTGGGGTTCAAAGTAACAGTCTCCTGTTAGGGTGATGGCTTAGTCCGTTGCACAGTATAGATTTTGCATCCATAAACATCTAATATACTGTAGAAAATACTTGTTGTTTTAACTTTGAAGAGTGTCAAAGTGTCATGTGGTCCAACTGTCTAATAATTCATTCCAGCATCAGTCGATTGTGAGTTTGAATCCCAGCAATGCCACAGCTGTCCATGTCTGGAAGCCCAAGAAGAAAAAATGCCAGATGAGACTGTGCGATGGAAGGAGTGCCAGCCACTGGGAAAATTGAGTAAAAAACACAAATTCTGTTTTGTTTATCTAACTGAGATTCAGACCTAGAAACAGTAGCTGGGAGAATTTTTTTGACTCAACTAAATAATTTGAGTTGGGTAAACTCTAGTGTCCTCAAGTTGGGTCAATTCAAGAAACGCCATGTAATCAGTTACTTCATAATTGTTGAGCAGACATGTAGGTAATACGGTTGTTGGGAAATTGGGGTTCATGTTCCTTTAAGAAATGTGCGGGCGTGTGGCCCAATAGTCAGATTTGCTGGTTTGTTGCCTGCTTGTTGGTTCTCTCTGCTGCTCACTGTGATGCTAGCTTTACCCCAATGGCTCTTCCCCTTCTACTTATTTTACTTCATGCAGGGCCAGCTCTAGCCCTTTGGGGGCCCTAAGCAGAAGAGACCTCTGGGAGACCTCATCTTGCTAGTTGATGTACTATAAAATTAGAGGCTAATTAATAACAATGACTATCAAAAATGACCTAAATTATATACATTCATAACTGCCTAAATTGTTCTATTAAATTGCAGTTTAAATTACAGATTACTTTCTAATCATTCTCAATCCAGTTTCCTTCATGATGCAGGATTTCCTGCTTACCCAGCTAACTTTAAATTTAGTTGGCAATGGCGATGGCGTTGCTTCTTTGCGACTCCTCCTTATATATCATGTGAATGGCTGTTTGTCATAAACGTCACACTTTCATAAGGAGGATTAATCACAGTCTGAGTATCTAAACCTGGATTAACAGAGAAAATCGTTAACCACTGTTGTAAAACATGTTATGCATCTGTGTTTGTTAGTAACACAAAGTTGGACACAAAGTTGTAAGTTGTTTCTGTAGACAGACCCCAGATTCACTACTTCTTGTTGTCCAACTACAAACCAAAATAAATGGGATAACGCCACAAAGAACAAAGCATAGCTTTATTGTTAAGCCTTTTATCCTCATCTTCTCTTTTTCTTCTTAGTTTTTTGGCTCACATATGCGTATGTTCTTTTTTTAACGTGATGACTCTTTTCCACTCACTCAGGCATCTAAGCAGCTGCATATGTCACTTAACAGGCAGAGCCGGCACTGACTTTACATTACGTTTAGTTTAAATGCATGGAACCGAAAATAAATCTTCTTCTTTGTAACTTCAGCTTGCTTCAGTGTGACTCGCTGTAGTAAAAAACAACCAAGCTAAAGTGACTGGGTATAAAGAAGTTGCTCTAGTCCTGGAACTTTCAGAAGTAGAGAAAGTTCCTCTGATCTCTGTCTTTGGTCAGCAAATATGATCAGAAAAAGGTAACACTGTCCATTTTTGATAGCAAATGAACTGAATACACTTGAATTGCAGACACTCTGACCCCTGGTTCCAATCACCACAATTGTAAACAAAATCAGAGTCTGTAAGTTTCTCTCCAGTGCACATTCTCATATTAAAACACTCTGACTTTGTTTATATCTTGACTGTGTAATGCAGTAAGTATGCAGAAATTTTGAAATTCCCATGTGTAAAGGGAAAGCCCCTTTAATGCTACTGTTTATACTGACTGATTTCAAGTAATAATCATACAAACCATTAAGACTGCAAGTGGCATCTCAAATATAATTACTGTGATTCAACTTATTTTCCAAACACTGTTAATACATTCTAAATCTAAATATTTAGGCTCTATACACATTACTGTGACACGTATCATGTGTACCATATGTAAAACATATCAAAGTGTTTAGTTGTGCTGGTACTCTGAGAATGAACTGACTGCAACCTCAGATAACTTGATTATGTCTGAAAATAAGTGTTCTTATATTTAACACTGGTCCTTACTTGATGTTGCAGTCAAGCTTTCCCCAGTTTGCTCATTATGTGATAAGAAATGATTTCACAAAAGTGTTTACAACTTAAACATATGGATTTACAGTGTGCTAAAGAACACAGTCAGCCATCGTAGAGCATGGTGATTTAATACCTCTGAGTTTGTGATATTCATATCACCCCAGGAGATGACTCCAGCAGCTCCTAAAGCAGCAGCTTCTCCTATAGTATTAACCAGGTCATACTGGGGAACAAGCAGAGCTAAAGTATAATGATATAAATAAATACAAATAAATATAAAACAAATACAAAAATATGGTATAAATATATGGCATAAAGGCTACAGTCTCTTTATAGATTACAGATGTAATAGGTTGTACAGGTTTTGGTGCTGATACATAATTTCAACAAGTAAAACAATGTCAGCAACAATGTAAAACAAGGCCCAGAAACTAACAAAACTAGGGAATTTCATCACATTTACTTCAGATACTAAACTACTTTTCTGCTCAAGCACATCTACCCAACCTAATACTTAACTGAAACAGGTATGTTTGAGCACATTATGCTTGACTCTGGCTAATCAAGGGCCACAGTTGATGACCCCTACTCTAAACACATACCACTGACCTCAGACAGGTAGTTGACATCACTATCTTTGAAGCAGGGCCGTATATATGCATATACAGGAACAGCACAGGTCTTGTTGGAGAGCTTGGTCACCCTCATGGCCTCCTGGATCCTGTGACGGACATAGAGTTTGGCCTGGTGAGATTCCTGTAGGACAAGTTCCAAGTAGATGGATGGGAAAAGAGCAGTGGATTCATTCCAGAGCCACATCAGCTCATTATTCCTCAGCTTTTCTAGCTCTGGACATTCTCCAGTATAGTACTCCATGTTACTGTTGTAGTCATAGTTATAACAGTCAGGGTACAAGTAGTAACCCCATCCACGTGATGGTCTCAATTTCTTTCCAAGGTTCAAGGATTTAAGGAAGTACTTCTTTGCTGCTTCTTCAAATGTCATCGCTGCTAAGGTTTGTGCTTCTTTATATGACACAGACAGATTCTTCTGCATGATGACCTCTATAGACTGCTCCCTGTAGACATCTTTGCTACCCCAGTTACGGATCCACTGTGGTCTCCACTCCTCGAAGTCCAGTACGGCCAGCCCAGGCTGATCTTCTGGAATGTAGTAGATGATGTTCTCTTCAGCCAGCTCCCAGTGCTCCTGGAAGTCCATCTGCTGTGGAAGCCCAACTCCACAAGGCTTTCCACATTTCTTGTCCAAGGAGGGGAAGATGCCAAAGCGGTCAGAATAAAAGATGGAGACGCTTTGATTGGTGGCTGACTTTAAGGTGCTGCTCACCATTTGGAAGTGGGACAGATCGAGCTCAATGCCAAAACGACTCTTACAGAGTTCTGTGGGAGCGTTCCACATAAACAGGAAGGGAAAGCCTGGTTTTAGAGGTGAAGCGGTGATCACTGGCCAGCAGTACTGGACAAACGCCAGCAGCAGCAACAAAAGAATTACTAACACACTGCCGGAGAACATCATGTCATGGTTTTGCCTTGTCAGCACCTAGAAAGAAAAAAAGAAGACTTAATGAAAATAAAGAGTATAAATTAATTTGGTACTATTAGCATTTGAACGATAAACAAAATTAGTTTCAGTGATGGAAGAAGTACTAATGCTCTTTGAGTGATAGAAAATGTCAGCAACTGAGGTAAAGTCTAAAGTCTAAAAGCTACTTAGACTAAGTAAACTGTTATTTTGCACTCATCATGAAAACAGCCAACTGTAACTGCAACTACAATATGCAATTTCCTTAACTATGTTTATTGCAGGTGTTTCAGTTACCCAAGATATTGCTTTGCTCTGTATTGTTTCTGGTTCGGTAATCATTTTTTAAATGTATTATTGTTTAATTCACATATTTCAGTTCATTTAAAGATCATCACTATGACATCAATGGACATTCTGTACAACCAACTGCTTTATATTCAATGTTACACATTATGTTAAGCCTCCCTTTGCCAACAATAAACATGCTGCAAATATTTAATCAACAATATCCAAAGTTTTTACTCTGTATGTCTGAATGAATTATAAAAGCTATATTAATCTATTTCACCCGATAACCAGTTTTCTTTAATATAATGTATCATAGTTCAGATCTGACAATAGTTTAGCCCCACAATGTGTTGTATTTTTGTCATTATGATATGAATTTCCACAATAGCCACACTGCTAAATATCAAACTGCAATATCGGCATGGACCATATGTATTGTTGCATCATTGAATGCAAAAGTGTGTTGAATTTCGAGGTGAAAATACGCTACACATCTATAGAAAACACACTTCTGCACAATTTATTGCACAACTACTGTTTATTGCTGAATTTAAAATATTGGAAAAAATATATATATATGGCCTGTGCATGTTATATATTGTATGTTTTTTTTCAACATATTAACTCAGCAAATTATTAAAATTTTGCACACAAAATGCCATATTTAAGTGTGTTCTCTGCAGAGGATGTGTAACTTATTTTCACTTAGAAAATCAACAAAACATGTCATTTGACTGGTGGTGTTAAACTTCTGCATATAACTGTAATAGCATACATGATAGCAAAAATGCTCATTTAACATACTGTACATAAGATAAAACAGCATATTGCATTTTTTACATAATTAAAAATACCAACTGCCATTACATTGTTTCAAATTTTATAGCAAACACACAAATATAAATGGTCCAAAATGACTTAGAACAAAATTTTGGTACATTAACATATATTTAAAGTTTTTTCCATCACCAGTAAAGCTACTTTTTGGAGATGCAAAGTTTTGTTTCTGACAGTGATTCTACAGAGCCATTACAATTAAGGTTAGTAAAAATACACACATAACAAGTTATAAGCAAAGCATTCATAAACCAATTTAAGCATTATACAGAAACTGTTAATAGCAAACAAGCAGTTGGTATAGCAAGACAGAGAGACAAAACATGGCTGGGCAATTGTCCAGGTATGGTGGACGAGATACTTGAAATCTTCAGAGATACTGGTCAAAATCCCATGCTGAAGTGATGACAGAAAAACTTCCTGAGATCTGCTCAAATCATAAAGTCTAATTATGTACATCACTCTTAGATTGACCACTCTGCATGGTTTAGGTCCAACACACCTGGCTGTAGTATTCAGATGTTCCTGAAAGCCCTGATCAACTAGAACAGATATGTTATATTAGGGCCAGAAGTAAACTTTGCAGAGCAGTAGTTCACGAGGAGCAGGGTTGGACAGTCATGATTAACATCCAGTATATATAAATCCAATTTCAATTCCAAATACATTCCTCTGTATTATACCAATGTGTCATAACTGACATAGAAGAAAACCTGATCAACATCAACCAGATGGCTGAAAATTCTTCAAAAGAGCACATTCAGCTCTCCGTATGTGCCTTCACTGGTACCTATTATACTACAAGTGTCAAAAGCTTAGGAAATATGCGACCAAAACTTATGTTCAGTGGTACTGAAAAGTTCACTTGAGTCAGGCAAATTGATGAGGCAATAGGGTTAGAGTTAGGGGTTTAGAGGTAAAGGCCCAGAAAATCTATGGCTCAATTCTTGAAACGAAATGTGTTCTTTCAATTGATTTTTCAACCTTTCTACCATGCAAGTAGGTTTTCATGTAGAACATGCTAAACCTTGATGTAGGTTCTCTGCTGTCATGTGGGGGGTTTGCTTTGCCTTTCTGGTCAGCATACGAGCAGTTCTATCTGACAGTTTTTTGGTCTTCCAGATGTTTCCTTGACTTCCAGTTTCCCTTAAGTTCCAAGTTGCAGTGTTCAATGCAGAAACCTTGTAATTCCCTTTAAAAGTAGCCCTTCATTGTCATCCAGTTACCTGCTAGCATAATGGTAATAGCATCTAGCATCCCTATGGTTATTTGTAGTGTTGTTAGTGCCAAGCTAGCAGTGTTGAAATGTGGAATCATGTGCATATGAAGCTTGTAACAGGCGTACAACGTATTCTTTATTCTAAATGCAGTTTTACCATAGCCCCCTCTGAAAAGGTCTGAATTTGAAGCCTGTTATTCAGTATTATTGAACCAGATTGTTAGCCTACAAGCCTTTCAACTGCATGAATTTTAGTATTTAATCCATTTAAAAATCAACACAATCTAAAAATCAATACTTAATCCAACAGAATATCTTTACACTTAGTAGATGAAATCTGACACTGGAGTCTTTAAGGCCTAACAAGTTTATTTAAAACTTTGTTGTTTACTGTTTACAATTACTCTTCAAATATGAAGTAACTGTGAATTTAGAGGCGTATATTTGGGTGCCTAAATTTTTGCGCACATGTATATGAATTCAGTACCACTATAGAGTACATGAGAAAGAATGAAATTATGAAATTATGACTTCTCAATAGTCAGATTTGTGCACATCAGAATCTCTTTTGAGGTGTTTTGTCAACGTACTGTCTGGTTTTCCTGCCTTCTTTTGTCTCTATCCTCAGTCTGTTTGCCTCTTCCCCTTGTTTGAAATGACTCCATATGGTGTTTTATCTTATATTTATTGACTTTTGGTCATAGCAGGTAGAATTTTCAGGATAGACAGGTCAGCTTGGGCTTAAACTGAAACACTTGATTTTGGAAAATATTCTAGATTTAACTGATTCTTTAATTTATTATGAAGTGCTAATAAATATTTATTTTTTTATGAGTTTGTCATAGGAGTGGTGAGTTATTTTTTTTCTTTTTGGGGGTGTTGTATACAATTTTGATCTTATTTTCCCTTTCTTAATTGTGTTAAGATACTTACTGCCAAATTTCATACCTCTATGACTATTTATGTCATTGTAGTACCTCAATATTTAAAATTTTTCCAGACATGTGTCCTAAAAATGGTCCCAGAGCAAACGGAACCCCGTTGAGGTTGCTATTTGTCAACTTGTGATGGCCCAAGACATAGGATAACAGGAATTATACAGCAGTTAATTCTGGCCACGCAAGCTGATTGTTTGAGAAGCGTTCTAACTGTGCTGATATTTCGCCATAACATCATGGGTTTTTCACAAACACTGTAACACTCTGCTGAGACGCCGTTGCTAAGCAACGAGTTTGACAGCTGTAGGAGATGATCAAACCATTTGAACGTTTTTACTTCTTACATTGCACACAAATAGAAAATGGATACTTTTAAGATCACATCTGACCGACAGCCGATTTGGTCAGACTCTGAAGATGAGACTGCACTAAATTCCCAAACTGTCATCACCACTCAGCAAGCTTTTCAGTCAGCAGCTGTGACAGAAGAACACCTAAACCACCTGGAATCAGCCTGAAATGAACCGAATACCATCCGCCAAACGTGTAGTCTCATCCTCAGAGTCTGACCAAATCGGACTGAACCATAAAACTGCCACAATAAAAAACAAAAAAGCTTGCTCAGTGGTGATGACAGTTTGGGAATTTAGTGTAAGGAGCTGCGGAACGAACTGCCGCCTGTGTAGCGAGTGAGCGGAGCTTGTTACTCTGACTTAGCAACAAGCTGCTTGTTAAGGAACTATAATTTGGCGAAAGGAACTGCTAACATTAAAACATGTTAAATGCCACGATCACGGCCCAATTTATTTATTTCTTACTTTATTTATTTAATTGTTGTATAAAAGCAATAGAACACTTGAGGTCGTGTGTTATCATGTATAACATCACGGCTGTGATGATCTAAAAATGGTCCCAGAGCAAACGGAAACCCCGTTGAGGTTGCTATTTATCAACTTGTGATGGCCCAAGACATAGGATAACAGGAATTATACAACAGTTAGTTCCAGCCATGCAAGCTGATTGGTTGAGAAGCGCTCTAACCGTGCTGATATTTCGGAATAACGCACTCCCTCTCGTGTTCTATTGCTTAAATAATAAAGGTAGCAGGAAATATCCTGGGTGCTGGACCTGGCTCCTGGCCTATCCTAGCCCCAGAATGTAAAACTTAGGAAATTACTTCAATAACATTTAGTTTCCACCCTAGGAGATTCCACAACAGTTCCTCTGCTCCGGATTGGTCCACACCTGGCTGGATCTGCCCTGATACTACCTGCTTATTATCTCCTACACCTTTGTGTTGTTCATTCTAAAATAAAGGTCTGAATATATATGTCTAGTTCCTGGTTGCATTTGTTTTGTGTTGTTCATGTTTATTTGTATTGCTAAGCTGGAGAGCTACCTTTCTATTTAGTGTGTCCTCTTCTCTTTCTTTCCCTTCTTCTACAATAATGAATTTGCCAGCTATCAGGTTCTGCCAAAGTATTCTCCTGCCCCTGACTCCCCTGCTTTACAAAAATAATAATTAAAAAACTGTTTTAATCTACAAAAAAAATCTATGCAGTATTCATAATAGTTAGCATCCCTTATGTTTCCCATAAACTAAAATCAGTGACCTTTTTGTTTATAAATAATTAACTTTAATATTGTCACTCTAGATTCACTCTCTCTTATTTTTTATTTAAATTTGCTAGAAATATTGTGAGGCAGACACATTTAGCATTAATATACATTTTATGTGTTTTTTGGTAGTGTGGTGGCGTTGGTAGGTCTTCAGTCTGCAGTGTACATGTATGGGAAAGAGAAGAGATATGTAAATATGAACTGAAGCTCAAAAAAAGTATTGAATATTTAGTAACACCGAGTTAAAGTAAGAAACCCAGAATTGACCTGCCAACCGCCATTCACACAAAAGAAGACACTCTGCATGTGTTGAGAAGCAAAGAGCTCAGTGGCATTTTTATCATGTATTGTCTTTTTCATCAGGTGTAACACTGCTGAAGTACACCTGTAACTGAGCTGGTCTGCCATGTCGCAGCACTTCACATCAGCATGTTGGAATGTAGTGGATGTAGAAAGACATGGTGACAGTACTTTTGTTCTCTTATTATTAATGTATTCTGGCGAGCACTGTGTGAAGTGTGGCTAGTTTGCTATGTTTTTTTCTGAGTGAATCTGTCTTTGTAAGAAATGAACCGTCAGTGGTGCTATAAAGCTTTGTGAAGCTTTTCAAGTGTTTCATTTAGTGTCTTACAAAATTTAACGGTTTAAACTGTTGTTTGGCTCTGTAGAAATTCTTGCAGAAGTAAGAACCAAAACAACCAAGACAGCATCACACATGACTATGGAGAATGATTGCAGACAAACTCCTAACTCTTTAAATGGAGAAAGACCTAAACACTTGAAACTGAAGGCATTATCGTTTAAAATATATTTGAAATCACTGGTAAAATCTGACAAACATTTCATAGTTTGCAGCGCTTGGCCCAAATAACACAGAAATTGTGTTTTTCGGGTCTCTCTGGCTACTGCACTTGCGCGGATCTCCACAACCAAGCTAGGCTTTTCCCGCTGGCGGCTTTACGGGCAAAGCACTTTGCTGTTATTATTAAAGGGTGGGACTTTCCCTGGCAACAAACATCATGTTGAGCATTATAAGCTTGTCCCAGAGAATGTGTAAAGAGGAGTGCCACTCAGTAATGTCTTCCAGGTTTATCAAACACAAGAGGGCTCTCCCAATCAAGTTCACAATGAAAGGCTTAATATGGAGCATTAGAGCAAAATCATAGTTTGCAAATGCTTAAACATTTTATACAGAAAAATGTGTTCCTGAACATAAAACAGAATAAAACATTTCAAAACTGCTGTTATATTTTTTAAAAACACTTCTGAACTAAAGTTACAGGACTTAACAGTGGCACCTCATGTACATTCATGATGTCAGTGAGCGTGAACCGCTTCCCTCAGCCAATGAGCTCATCAGCTTGCCAGTCAGCGCTCAGTGAAAGTAATTCTAGGGTCCTACTGCCAAAAACCTGTTTGCTGTAGAAAAAAAAATTTTTTCACAATTAAAATTGAAAATACTTTTTCACAGCACTGCACATCCAGCACTGCTCTAATATAGAGGGTATCAAAATATCAGAACAAGTGTATGTTATTAGTCAACTGGCAGACAATACATATCTGTTTCTAAGTTAGGTTGCTAATCCCCTACAAATGCTACAAATGTTGTTCTCAGAAGCATTGAGTCTGTCAGTGAATCAAAGTAAATCTGAAATAATGACTGAATTATAGAATTCAAGTTGAAGAATAAGTTAGATATCTTGAAATATTAGTAAGTAAAACCTTTTTTTGCCAGAATTCAGTGTACAGATTCAAAAAGCTGTAAGTATTTCAGAGTGTAGGCTAGGCTCTTCAGAGAGTATTTCTAGTCGTCCCTTTATGATGCCAAAATTGCACAACTATAGACCCAATGGTATTTATGTTTATTTGAAAAAATAAAAATAGAGTATATAATGCAAAAGACAATGATTAGACCTCTTCTGGATAATTTCTTAAATTAAGTGGATTAAAGACTGTTTGGATGCTACCAGTTCGTTTTGGTTATATACCCAAAATTTTTATTTTAATGTGTAATAGACACCCTGTAACATTAGCAAACTTCCACAAGCAGGTGCTAGTAGCATGGAAAACGTCCCTTAAAGAAGATACGTATGATGAGGGTTTGGTGTTTCAACCAATTTTTCTAAATGGTGAACATTATCAATACGAGGAACTCATATCTTGGAATGGAATTTGTCACAGAGAGATTATGATACTGTCTGTAATGGCATATCACCTAAATTACTTCATCTTATCAAGGCTCAGTGTAAATATCTTTCATTAGTAGGTGGTCTCAAAGCTTGAAACTGAAGGTGTTGATCTTTTAAAACACATGTAACATGCATATCCAAAAAGCACTGACTGCTAGTCAGAGCTGTCCTCCTAATGCCCATGTGTCAAACACAAGGCCTGCGGGCCATGTCAGGCCTGTGACACAATCCTATTCAGCCCATGAAATTATTTTAACTTTCTATTCTCATTAGCCCGTTTCACCCTGAGATGCACTGGTGGTCAGAACAAGACAAAAAAAAAAAAAGAGCTTTTTGATAAACACTTAAGATGGGGTTGGCAAAACGTATGGTTTTAAAGTATGGTAGAGGATGCTCCAGCCCCCAGTCCCCTGACTAAAACTCAACTGAAAACCCGATGGGTGAGCTGACACGCATTATCCATAAGAGCACTGCTAGAGGAAAAAAATAGTCTGTAGAGATTTTGCACTTTAGAGGTTTAGAATCCTTGCTCTGTACTCTTCACTCTTATCAGGCATTATATTAGGCTGTTGTATTGGCAAATGGGTGTTGCACAAAGTACTAAATGTAGGGGTGAGATAAATTGGAACACATGGTTTTGACTTACTTTTTTCTCTTCATATTTTCAGTGTGTGGTTGAGCTTAATTAACCACAAAGACATTTTTCATTGCTTTTTTTCATTGCCCATTATCACCATGTGTACCAATAATTATATAGATTACTGTATTAAAAAAAACTGTCTTCTAATGTTTTCATACTGATTGAGCTATTTGATAACCAACAAAGCATGTCTTGTACTGTTTTGCTCAGGGCAAAGTGAAATTGATGAAGCTGACTATTGTTTAGCTTATCTGATCTGGTTCTGGCTGAAGCTGCTACAGCCAAGGATCTTATAGACCAGGCTTGTAACTCACTCACATTTAGCAGTCTGAAAATTCTGCACAAGAGGCTATTAGCCCTCAAGTAGACTTTGGTGATTCACAGTGTTTTTGTTTCCTGCTGTTCCTCTTAAATTTTTGTGATTTATTACAAATCTGACCAAATCTGACCAATCTGGCAAAAATATTCAAGAAGCAATAAACTGATTTGAAAATTCCATTTATTAAAGCCCTTTCAATGATCTTGTTTTATTATTAATAAAGTTTAAAATTAGTGTAAGATTCCACTTTTACAAAATCAGGAATCCTTTTTCGATAAAGCCATAATGATATAGAAGACTTGCTTGTTGCTGAAAGACTTGAAAATTATACTTGAATAACTACTGGAGTCACGGAAGGCACAATGGACAAGCTGTCAGAGCATTCTTTTCCCACATAGCAATGACAGGTAAACTTGTCTGCAAAGTCCTTAAGGTCATTTAGAGAAGGCATGCCAATAGCCAGCTGTTTCCCATTCCACACCTGAATTTGAAAGTGATCCGAGTTGAGGTGGAGGTAGTCAAACGAGTTGGGGTTCTTGCGGACACAGCGTCCATTGCCCTGGCACAGAGAATCACTGCAGAGTTTTGCAGCTGCAGTTACATTGGTCAAATAAGGGTAAAGTGTGGATGGCAGGTAGGCAGCCAGTGCTTCACATGAGTCCTACAGAGGAGAGAGACAGAATAATTCCAAATAAAACAACAGTCTAACAGAAGAGTTTCCAGGTTGTCTTCTGTATTTCAACAACCTGTCTTGGCCAGGAGTTATATAAATGTTTCATCAGTTTTGATGTATTGGCAGCTAGTAGTTGGAACTGTCCTCATTTAATGTTAACCACCCTTTTTTTTTTTAATTTCATCTGAACTTGAGACTCTAACCCCAACCCTAAAGTGGGCCTCTATGGCTGTGTGTTATAGTTGCACATGCTGCTCTCCATACATCAATGAACCAGTCAGACTCAGATGTTCTCGCTTTTTTCTTGTTTCTTTCTATTTTTTTTTCCCTTTAATTAATACTATTAATCCTTTATGATGTCATTTTTGTCCACGTTATCTAAAGTAGGTGATTTGTTTTATACCTTTGGGTACAGAGTTTCTTTCTGTGCCTTTTGGGTACTGATTTTGGTACCCAGGCCTAATTGTAACCCTTTCCTGGAGTGGTCATGCAACAAAAAACAAGAGCAAGATGTACAATATTCTGAGCGATCACAAAGAACTTCAAAGAACCCCAGGGGAATATGTAGAGTTGGGTGGTATAACAATAATAAGGTACTCCAAGGTATTTTAAAATGATGCCATATTTTTAAAAAATGATCTTCGTGGCCATTAAACCTTTTGCCGTAAACTGTGTTTGGACAAATGCCATGATAACGTTACAGCAAAAAACACAGGAAGTAATGCAACTAACATTAGCTAGCTAGGTTGTGGGTTTGCAAGTTGTCACTGTAATTGCTACTGTGAAGTTAACTGCAAATATCAGCAAACAGGACAAATACTGACCTACTTGATTCTGTGAAATGGCAAAAATGAGTTAATGATCAAGCAGAAACAGAGCCATTTTTTCTATTTTAATCCCTTTTCAATCTTTCAACTTTCAATAGCTGAAGTCAGCTTCTTTTTCGCTTGTTTCCCTCTTAAATGGTGTAGCAGTTACATCCTGGTTCCTAAGGCAAAATATGGCTCATATGTTTTACATCACCGATCTGCTCTCAGGATCGGCTAAGTTAGAGAAATACTGGCCCATCGCAGATTACATATTTGGCCCTAGATCTATCTATCAGAATCAATTCTGTACTGTGGTGTGTGTCACTATTTTGGTCTGTAGCCTGCTTGTTAAAAAAAATGTAAAATTTAAATACATTTGATTAGAAAATTTCCTATTCTACTTGACACCCCTCATATCAAGTCTTAAGTGATGCTTAGGACAAAATTGGACAAAAATAGGACACTGATGCATTTTATGTTACCTTATTGCTGTAGTCAGCACTTGCACCCCAAAGCACTACCCCTGATGCACCTAAGGCTGCACTCTCCCCAATAGTCCTGACTAGATCTGCCTGAAGAAAGGAAAAAAATACAAAAGATCAAAATTAAATTTGGAAATTAGAAGTTTGACAACATAAAATGTGTGTCTGTAAAGCAAGTTCAATACCATACTCAATGTGCATTGCCTTAACAATTCCGGAAGCAACAGGCTCACCTCACTCAAGTATACTTTGTTCTGATCACGGAAAAGAGGTCGCAGATAGACATAAATAGGTGCCTTGTAGATTTGTTTTGGAAGAGCAGACACCCTCACAGCTTCCTTTACCATGCCTCTGACGAAGAGAGCTGCTTTGGTAGTTTCCCTCAGAGATAGTGGCAGGTATGCAGAAGGGTACAAAGCTGTACTGGACTCCCACAGCCAAAGAAGGTTGTTATTACGGGTTATCTCTATTGCTGGACACTCTCCTGTGTACGCTGGGTCATTCCAGTTGTAATTATAGCAATCTGGAAACAGATAGTAACCCCAGAGGTAGTTTGGACGTAGTCTGATCGCCAAATTCAATGTCTCTCCTAAGTAAGACCTGGCTGCTTTCTGAAACGCTTCAGTGGCAACAGTAACAACCTTGTTAGGTGATAGAGATGGGAGTTTTTCTTTGACATATTGAATTGATAGCTTCCGATAGATGTCTCTGAAGCCCCAGTTTCTTGCCCACAGTGCATGCCATGATTCCCAATCGATCACAGCCAAGCCAGTCCTGAACTCAGGAATGTACTTTGTGATATCACTAGAAGCTTTCTCAATGTTGGCTGTTAGGTTTCCCTTCTGGGGAATACCCCCATTATACTCCTTATTGGTAGTAGTGTCTACGCATGGATACAGTCCAAACCTAGAGGAGTAGAAGAGGGAGAGAAACTGATCAGGTTCACTGGCTGGTGTTGTTACAGCTTGGAATGCAGAAAGGTCCAAAGGGATCTTGAGCTTCTTGCACACATGGGTGGGTGCATTCCAAATGACTGCAAAAGGTCTGTCCGTAAAGAGAGGTGCAGCCGTAAGGGGCAGAGATGAGGCGATGCAAAAGCAGCAACTCGGAAAGAGGATCAAGACATACAGGCAAAATGGAGATCCTCCCCACTGCTGACTGAAACGGCACATTGTTGCACCCTAAAGAAAGGGACAGTAACAAAGACATGCCTACTGTGAAGAATCACGACATTACAAAAACACACTAAATTTAACTTAAATTTGTGATACGACTTCTGAATTACTGTCGTACCAACTGTTACACTACCACGTTTGTTGAAAAAACGAAATTAGAGAACTTGTAGAGGACAATTACCGCTTAAGAATGTCTTCCGGTTTCGTCAGTCGCTAGAGGGCAAAGTGAACGCGTTAATATGGAGCGTTTGACCCAAATTATGGTTTATAAATATTTGATCATTTTCACTCTAAAAAAAGTACTCATTTTTCTCAACACAGAACAGCGTTAAATGTTTCAGTACCGCCGACATGTTTTTAAGCTGTTCAGCTCAAGTTATAAAACACTGTAAAAGTGCCTGTGTAGCGAGGAGGTCAGTGAGCGCGAACCGCTTAACGGCGGCCGCCATGAGCGGAAATTTAGAAGCCCGCAGGAAAACGACCAGTATTCCCGATTAGGAAGCTGCGGTTAGTTACAGCTTTGCCACTATTTTGTGTCAGTTAAAATTTCAAATTCCTGCCTTGTTTTTGTTTTTAATAAGTACAACGGAGGTATTTTTCGAAGCTGGCATGTGAAGTCGTTTCACATGCTAACTTATATTTATCGCAGCTAAATTAGTTAGCTAACTTAGCTAGCTAGCTAACAGCTGAGCTGGTGCGAGTTGCCGAGCATTTAAAACTTGCTAATTAGGCTTTGTTCTTTTACTCACGCAGCTCACGACGTTAACTGCCTTCCTCTCAAACGCCGGAACAGAACAGAGTTTGAGCAGAAAACCTGTAGAGAGGCGAAGTGATGTTAAATACTTTCTTGTTTCCTCGTAGTTGACGTCAGACGGCGTCAATTACTGAGCGTTTGCCGCTGGTTAAACCTGTTGCTGACTCTTGTGTCACTGCACCTGAAAGTGAGTTTAAGAAAAAAAAAAAGAATTTTAACAATTGTTGGAAAACCAGAGAGAACGGAAAATATTTGAATAACAGTAGTGTATTGTCGTATACAATGTAGGCAAACAGCTTTGTTGATAAATTGTTTTTATAGCTTAATTTCACTTTAAATAACTACATATTCAGGCTGTGAAGGTTAACATTTTAGTGTGGCAATGTAGTTGTGTTGTGGCCTCTTTAGATTTTTATTTGTCTCTGATTTCACCCCCTGTCCTCCATATCACCCATTTTTCTGTTGTTTTTGTTTTACTTAGGCTGGCGTGCTCAGGATGTTCATGGAAGATGGTGAGGTAAGTTGCATAACAACTGCTCACATGTTCCACACTTGCAAACTGTTTGATCTTCCTGGAGGACCCGGATAAGCTGGCCTGCAATGTAAGCGAGTGCCTCCTCCTTAATACAATCGGTCATCACAACCTAAGAATCATAGCAAATCAAAGGATAAGGATACAAGTGTGTTAAATAAATATATGTATTTCAGGACTATCTAAAATGTCTACTACATTCTGTTATTGTTCATCTCACCTCACTTTCCTCAAGGTTAAATGCTGAACAGGGACATTCTGTGTTTGTAGTAGTTGGAGGAGGTAATGAAGGAGAGCGCCGTAGAGGTGGTGGCCACAAGGGTGATGTCCTTGTCTACTTGTACTTGGGTTGTACTTGTGACCCCCTTTTCCACGAATCAAGGAAAGCAGATTCTGTAAGAAAGCAACCTTAAACTATTGGATTTTCCGTCTGTTATTGTCTTACCTTATGTGTCATTTTTGTCACTTACCTCAATGAAGTCTTGGTTTAATTTTGAGGTACACAGATACTTGATCCTTGCACCTGTGCACCTCTCGGGAATGGTGAGGACACTTTTCATTGTGAGGCACATACTATTTTGGCAAGGCACTCTCTGCCCGGCCCTTGGAAAGACAAATAGCAATAGTCAGCATTTAATTTGATTTCATTTATTTGGTAAAACAAAATTCAGAGCACCTAAGCCAAATTGTCAGTGTTTATGTGGTTTGTATGGTGTGCTGTGTTTCTCTTTGTAGGGAATTCAGGACCTGAATTGCCATCTTGACACCAAGTCCAAACAGCTCTGTTGGTGTGCCAGCTTCTCCTCACTATGGATGCTGAGAGGGCGCTGCCACAGGTTTGAGTCCTTGTTTAATCTTCAGAGTAGTTAAGAAGGTATTTTTGGGCGTTAATACGCTAATGTATGCGTTGTCATAAGTAGTGGAAACTTCTATGGCTTCAGTACACGTGGGAAGTTGTCACCTTGATTTCAGGACATCAAACAACCTGTTCATTCTCTCAACAAAGGCAGCTGTGTGCTTGGCCTCTGGCAGGAGTCTCTTTAGTGTAACCATTGCATTTATTGCTGGATTGAAAATGCTATGCGAATATTGTCTGTGACATGCACCCTCTGTTCTTTGTAAAGTTCATAGAAAAATTCGGTATGTAAATTACACGTCATTTCAGACCTACCAGCAGAGATGGTGTGACTGAAAACTTGTGTGGTGTAGCTCACACTCATTTTTGAAAATGCTGGCAGGAGTGTATGCTTGTCAGACAGTTTTGGGGCCATTCTGATCAAGTGCATCTTGTCTATCTCATAGAATCATGCTGTGTGCCTCCAAAGAATAGTGTGTCTTTCAGTGTGTAAATAACATTTATAGTAGAATTGTAATCAAAATATAATTGACCATTCCTTTGCTCCTATTCAGGTACACTCTTAGTCTGTGAGACAAATCTATGACATTCCAGTTTTGGATATTGTGTGGTTGTTGGTTATTTACAAGTGGAGGGAGTGTGGCTCATGAAACAGGCAGTAAAATACATTTTAATCTTTACTTTCAAGCCATGTTTGAACATGTTGCTTATCGACTTGATCAAATGAACGACATTGAACACTACTGGAACCCTCTTCTTCTCCATGAGGGTTCATAGTTGCCCCCAGCAGTTGAAGGGCCTTGATATTTTTGGCAGCCTGGTCACACACAACTGCTTGAACCTGAATGTATAAATGTATGAAATAAATGAAATGGAAGCCTACAATTGCATAAAGCCAAAATATGTAACCAAAATATGTAAAATTGTGTTACTGACTGTCAGTCCAGTATTTCCAAGGTGATAGATGGCCCGTTTTGATAATTTTGGTTGTTTCCTCTGCTGACATTGAGGAAGGTCAGAAGTATCTGAATGTCTGTCATATACATATGTATACATATGTATGTATATATATATATATATATATATATATATATATATATATCTATATCTATATATATATATATATATCTATATATATATATATATATATATATATATATATCTTAATTCTATAATCTTATTTCCAGATAAGAAAACGGTACAGAAACATCATAAGTTGCCAAAATATCCTAAATATTTTCTTAACTAAGACAACCCCAGAGCTATCTTAACTTCTGTTTTAATCGTCTTTTTCTAACGTTTTGTGCAGTGACAGGCAGCACTGTTCACTATAAGTAGCATAATGACTTCACATGCTTTTACGTGCTTTGACTTGCGAGTTTTTTTCTTACTAACAGTGTTTAAAAGCCCCAGACGCTGCAGACATGATTTCAACCGTCCCCTCTTATTACCTTCGTGTGTTAATGTTGATGAAAACTCGTGTGATACACTGTTACAGTGATGGTGGTGAATAATGGGGAGACAGAGCTGAACGTGTGTCTGTTTATTAGGAGGAATAACTAGCGCGGTCGGCTAAAGTGTTTGGGAAATGTAACTGAAACTGCGGAGCGGCGACGCTCTGATAAACAGCACGAAGCACGAGCACAATATTATTAACTTACAGTTTATCGCGCTTTAGTTTTATTTGATTTTCTTTACACCAGTAACGACAGCTGACGTTATCTGTCTGACTAACTAGCTTTATTACGTGTTTACGTTTCAGCTGTGCGCGTATGGTCGGTTGCTGGGTAACAGACACAACAGTTGATTGTCGACTTAAATCGAGTAAGTTAAGATTTCCTAACTTGAGATCAGTAAGATAAGATTCTAAAATTAAGATTAGATTTGCTTCTATAATACAAATTTGTGAAAAATCTTATCTTGACCTGTCAGATCTTTAGACAAAAAGATTCTAAGTTTCTAAGAATTCTTTTTGTGTTGGATCTTGTGTTTGTCATTAGGATATTGAGTCCTGTGTCATATTTTTGGCACAGCATAGCTTTTAATGACAGAAGAAAACATCAGTATTTATATCTGCTTCCATTTTGCAGTGATCTTGTTTTGCTGGTTCACCAGAATGTGAAAGTCCATAAATACTCTGTCTTACTGTCATAAATAAGGTGCCTCTTTATCGCCATTTCGTCCAGCACTAGAGAGCACATTTTCCTCAAATTCCAAAAAGATAATGTGATTGATTTCATTTGAAAGAGCACCCCTTTTAGGAACCCTGGCTGTTGGTGATGTATTTGTATTCGGTGTTCAATAGTGTTGTTGGACTACACTGTACATGATGAAATGTTTATCAATTGTGTTACTGTCTTTCTGTCTCTCTCTTTTCAGGGATTGTTGTGTCCTAGGGGTGGGAATCTCTAGGCACCTCACGATTCGATTCGATTATGATTCAGAGGGCTGCGATGCGATTATAAAACGATTATCGATGTATCTTGATGCATCTTTTTTTCTATATAGGATTTCTATTTTCTTACTGTGTCAGGACTTGGTACTTTTAAAGCAAAGTATTTGTAATAATCTATAATGAATTTACTTCAAACATCCTTTATTAATAAATCAAATGGAAGTGACATGGACATCCATTACCACTGGATCTTATTTCACCGTAACTGCGCATTTTATCGCAGATGAGTGGCTTCAGTCCGCGCTTTCGTTTATATTTTTTTAACCTAACTCATACTAGGACATTAATACATACTGCACATTAAATGTTGTGGCTGCCAAGGTGGTTTGATTTTTGTTGAAAGGTCAAAATGTCTCTTCTTATCATTTGGCTTGTGACTCCTGACCTAACCTGGCTTTTAATGCAGAGGGTGCCGCTCGGATTTCTCACTCATCTGTGTGTGTCTCTGTTATGTGCCGCCACAGACTGTCCGGGGCTGCACTTCCGCACTTCCAAGTTCCGCCTTTTGCGTTCTGCCAAAATTACGTTATAAATTAAATATTTAGAAAATCGATTTTTGACATTTGTGAATCGATTCAGAATCGTTCACGTCCGCATCACGACCTCCTCGAAGTCCTCTGCATACTCTGCAATCTTCCAAAATAGGTAAGCTGCTGCTGGCGTTAGCCGTGTTGAACGGCTGTAGCTACAGGCTAGCAAGTACAAAAGCACATTATAGCTTGCGCGCATTGATCTCAGTTGAAAATGTGGTTATGAGAGAAAACACTGAACTAATCATGGAGTAAACGTTTACACTAAAATGCGTTTTAGGCCAAAACTGTATGACAAAACTATCACAAAACAGTATCTCGGGTATCAAGCCATGCATTCATAACCATTGTGTGTAATAACGGGATGTAGATTTCAAAGCCATTAAATACGTCGGACGTGTGGTTCCTAGTACTATAGGTTAATGGTGAACAATTTGCACTCTGTAAATTAATTTGGAATGGCGCATTTCACACCGAACCGCTCTGAATGATTTTGTTCACATCTAAGCCACTGAATGATTTAAGTTGGCAAAATCGATGGAGTTCCCCTTTGATGAACTGACTGATCAGTGTACATTGTCAGTTTATGAGGTCCCCTTACAACCAACAATTATTAGCTATTATCAGAAACACCTGTTTTACAGGGGCACTGTATAGGTGTTCAGTTATAGACTGTAGC